CTTATTTTCGGAGGGGATGCCTTATATTTCAGTGAGAGGCAAAACTGTAAGTAGGTCTTATTTTCGGGGGATGTCTTACTTTCGGGAAAACAGGGTATATTGCACCCGGAACTGGCTCATCTCTTCCCTGTGACCCCTCTGTGAGGGGATGTCCAGTTATCTACAGTTGGTTGTTGGGTCTCTACTCCATGCCCCGCCTTCCCCTCATTTACCTTGGGTATGATTTTGTTCTGGGTCTTAGCTGCCTGATACCTGATCTCATCAACACCTCCTGATCACACAGGCTGGTGTGCTTCTTGTGGGCTTTGTTGCTTCTGAGCTAGATGGCTACTTGTTTATCTTCAAGCCTTTAAGACCCCAGACGCTATATCTTTTGATAGCAAGGCACCATCAGCTTTCTTCACTACATTTGCTTATGCACATTTTGTCTTTAGTGATTGTGTCAATGTATGTAAGATATGAAAATAATAATCTATAACTTATCAAGGGTTCATGAGGGAAGGCAGTCGGGGGAGGGAGGGGAAAGAAATGGGGAGCTGATACCAGGAGCTCCGGTGGGAAGAGAATGCTTTGAAAATGATGGCAGCATATGTGCAAATGTGCTTGACACACTAGATGAATGTATGGATTGTGATAAGAGATGTAAGAACCCGCAATAAAAGTATATATTAAAAAAAAAGAAATCTGGCAAAAGCAAGCTGCTCTTGGAGACTGAGTTGGTGATAACTCTTGATTCCACTCCTGTTTAAACATCTGGGTTCCCTGCTCTCCCATCTATTGCTACCTATAGGTAGATTGAAGTGTTGTCTTGGAGCCTGCTGTACATTTAAGAATAAATGTTTGTAAGAAAGAAGAAAAAGATATCATACTATGGTTCATCTCTTTAGTTTTTCTCACTCAGCCACTCCTATCTCAGCTGTGAGGTCAGAGAGAAGCCAGTTCAGAACCCTGCCCGAGCTGTTCTTCAGTCCTGGTGATGCCCAGAATGCTGTACTAAAGCAACTCATTTGAAATTTAGAAGGAAAAAAATAAAACAAAAGAAGGAAAGCAGAAAATCTTAAGAACAGAACAAATGTAAATGGATCATAAGGGAGATCAAATGATAGGGTCTTAAGTTTTAATCTAATTGCATCTGCAACAATCTACTTTCCAATGCAGTCCACTGATTCTAAGACTATTCGCATCTCTGGTTCTTGGTCAGAGGGGATTCACCAGGGGCTGAATCCATGTGTACATCTCCTTCACTCTTTTAAAAAACTGAACCGGCTTTAAAATGGGTCAAAGGAAGATCAAATGATAAGATAATACCTTTTAACTTCTAAGTCTGCCACAATAGACCTTACAATGCTCTCTGCCTGATAACAGGGCTGTTCACATCCCTCAACTATGACCAGAGGGGATTCACTGGAGGCAGAATCCCCTTGTGGACCTAAAGATGGATTTGGGGCTTCCATTGTCATCCGTAGCCTTCTGCAAACCAGGTGTTCAAAATTTAAGCTATGATTCCATTCTCTCCTTTAGATTTGAATTCTA